GCTCATGCATCATTTATGAGCTCACAGCCTCTGTCCCTAATTCTGCTGCTGAGCCCTCTATGTATTTAAGCTCCTTAGTCTGACAAATATGAGAGAACTTCAAGAGGGTGCCTATGTGACTCAAGGAACTGAACTTGAAGTGATTTGAAAGATCTAGGCAACACTTCATTTTCCATCCTAAAAATATATTGGCACATTTTTCTCCTTAGCACGTGAATTTATCCAACACAAGACTGACCCTCCTGCAGAGGAAACTGCAASCTGATGCAATGTATGAGATTAAAGTCCGATCCATCCCATATGGTGTATATTATGAAGGCTTCTGGAGTGAATGGAGTCCAAGTTCCCACTTCAGAACTCCAGCAGTCAACCATGCAGGTGAGGATGGCTGTAGGAAGTCCTTGTCCCCTACAATGCTTTGTGTGTCAAAGTGTGGGAGAGAAAGTGAGATGGAGTTGCTGCAGATAACACCTTAGGACTCCCCCTGGAGGGTGTCCTTCCCCTTTTTTGCCCCTTCTATGAAGAATAAGGGAACAAGGGAACTGTGTCTTTAGTAGCTCAGTACTGAGACAGCTTGTGTTGATGCTACTGCCTCAGGTGTTTGTGAGAGCTCCTGATATTTCTCAATAAAATCTCTACTTACCACCTCCCATTTATCACTTTTGGCTAGGATTCCAGTGGCTGGTCTCTCTAAGATCCCTCTAGGGAAAACTTTCTCTAAGGCAGGTAGGCAGGACAGTTAAGTTGTCTCACTTCTCCTTTTCAGAATGTCCTTGGGATGTAGGAGATAATAATGACCAGAAGAGCCAGAGAACATGACTCAGGAAGGTGCTTGAAGCACCAACATAGACCTTCCATTTAGGAGGTTGGGGAAGGTATTCTACTAGACCAGCCCTCATCCTCACTCTGGAACTTGTTGCACCTGCAGGGTGAACATTCACCTCATCACTCTCTGCGTTGTCTTCTTCCTCTTGATGGTGGGCATCAGGCAAAGAGTGGTGGTACCTTTGATGCTCAATCACTTTTATATTTCAAGTGGCTCATGTTCTTGCCCTGRTCATCCAAGTCTGTGCCACATAAACCTGGCACATCAGTTTATTTACTAAAGAACCACTTACCAAAAAATAATAAATAATCCTGCACAACTAAATAAACTCAAACCATCCTGAAAGTCTATCCCAATGCATGCTTACTGAATACTAACCCTTATCTATCCTTGTGTTTCAGGGGAAATGAATCCTGTTTTACTGATTATCAGCATTGTGAGTTTTATCTCGATGGTTCTGTTGGTCATCTTAGCCTGTGCGTTATGGGAGAAAAGGTAACTTTCTTTAACTAATCAAGAGGGTGATTTTGTGGGATCCTAAACAATCAGAGCTTGAGTGCCACTTATTATTGAGAAAACAGCAGAGGGGAAGCAGAAACTTCAGAAATCATAACACCCAGTATCCTCTCCCATTTATAGGTGATAGTAAATTTCCAYGGTTGATTTCCTAAAAGGCAAAAATACGTAAATAATCATAAGGCAAACTCTCTTCCCAAAATAAGAATTCTTTAACCAGTATTTCCCAACCTTTTCCTCCAAGGTCTCCTAAGGAGCATTGAAGCCATCAACCCTGGCAATGCAGAATGTTTGTGGCCCTTACTTTCCACACACAAATTCATGAGATTGTTATATTCTGCCTTATGAAAGAGCCATGGTATGGGGGCTGGGGTTGTGGCTCAGTGGTAGGACGCTTGCCTAGCATGTGGGAGGCACTGGGTTCAATCCCCAGCACCACATAAAAACAAAAATAAATAAATGAATAAAGATATTGTGGCCATCTATAACTACTAAAAAATAATTTAAAAAAAGAAAGAGCCATGGTTGTTTCATCATAAAAAATGATTTTTTTTAAATATGCTTGAGTTCTTACTTAATGTTCTAGGAAGACATTCTCAATTTAGGAGCACATATCCTGGCATTACAAATATTCTGATTYGAAAAGCAGTACTTTAAAGCAATTTCCCAAAGTAACTGAGAATATATCCCCACTTCCACAAAATTTAGGGAAAAGAAATTACTGCTAGTAAAGAAATGGAATAAGATGGCAACATCTACATTGGGAATAAATGATCAGGTCAAATTTCATTCCTATAACTACATTGAAACTACTACCTCATTGTTAGCTTCATGATTGCTCCCTTCTAGGGCTCTTTTCCAGAGGTCTTTCATGGTCATGTCCTGTTCACAGAGTTTAATGCTCTGTCCATGGTACTCAATAAGTACAGCATAATTATAAAACTWCTCTTCTGATTCCTGGCTCAGAATAAGTAGAAAGGCCTATTGTGTCTTCTCCCTCTGCCATTCATTTCATATATCAGTGTCCTCTGATTGCAGGATTAAGCCYATTATATGGCCCACTCTCCCTGATCATAAGAAGACTCTGGAACAACTGTGTAAGAAACCAAAAAAGGTAAGTGCTTTTGGTGCTCAAAGAAGCAATCTGCTGGTGGCATTCCATAGTCAAGAATGATTTTCTAGGGAAAATAATATCTGAAACTCTACTTTTGGTCTTTAACACATCCCATAGTGTTCCTTCTAAGATCCTAGGTGTATCTCCAAGGAGGTAGAAAACCAAAATGAACTACATGTCTTAGAATTTGTAAGGTTCTCAAGCTAGGGGGCGCCACCAGTGGTCACTTCAATTCCTGAAGTGTCCCAGCATCTCCAGAATCAAAGGATCAACTGAGGAACATTTGGCAAACTCTTCAAAAATTCCTTTAGACATTTATTTCTCTGAACCAATCATTTGGTGGCACATCRCTCTGTGCCATTCTAATGCCTCTCTCTTTTTCTGTGCAGAATTTGAATGTGAGTTTCAATCCTGARAACTTTTCGGATTGTCAGATTCATGAAGTGGATGGAATTCAATCTAGAGATGAAGTGGAAGGCTTTCTGCAGAATACTCTTCCTCCACAGCTAGAGGAGTCTGAGCAGCAGGGCCTTGGTGGGGATGTGCATGGTCCCAACCAGCCCTCCAGGATTGCAGCCATTACCCCAGAAACTTTCAGAGGAGATTCATCCCTCAGATGCCTGGCTGGGAATGTCGGTGCATGTGCCACCCCMTTACTCCCCTCCTCCAGGTCCCCAGACTGTAGGGAGGGTGGCAAGAATGAGCCTCCTGTRTACCAGGGCTTGCTTCTTAGCCCTGGAACTACAAACAGCACCCTGCCTCCACCATTTCCTCTCCAATCAGAAATTCTGACATTGAACCCAATTGCTCAGGCACAGCACATCCTCACTTCCCTAGAACCAAATCAAGAAGAAGCTTATGTCACCATGTCCAGTTTTTACCGAAACCAATGAAGAGTAAAAACTCCAAGCCTGTCCCATTACACCTAACCATGGTTTCTGGGAGGGAGAGTCAAGAGTTTCTACTCCTCCTCATAGCACAAAGAGAACAAAGTTGATTTAACCCCACTACATCATCCACAGAATTTTGAGACATCACTTTGAYCAGATGATTCATAACATTCAACATGAGGCGACAACATTCTTCTTCTAACATGTTGATTTGGTCATTAGGTTTTCGATGACCCAATGAATTAACTAGTTAAGGGGAAAAAACAGGAAAGAAAAAAAATAAGAATGAAGGAAAGGATGGAGAAGGGAAGGAGGCATGAAGGAAGGAAGGGAAGGATATTATATTATTGTTGATTATTATGCTACTATATAGCCAATGCTGCACTATGTGCCCTGCACATCTTGTCTCACTTCATCCTCACAATAATCCTGAGGTGGGTACAATTATTGTTATGATTATCCTCTTTTTTATAAATGGTAAAATTGAGAATGAAGGCTTTAAGTAACTTGTCTAAGTTGCCCACTTGGTCAGGGGAGGGAGCCAAGGTCTGATGCAATCCCCCTGAGCCACAATCCTTTCTCTTAACTAGGGATTACCCTGTTCTTGAATGCAAACCTCACTAATAGCTGGGAGATTATATGGTTTATTATCCAACATGGGTCACTTTTGAAAGGGAAAGGGGAAATTATTAAATAATCACTCCAGAACAATAAGCATAAACTAGGACCATCCAGACAAACTTAGACCCATGATCACCTTTATAGCTCTGGATGTTGCCAAGAACTTTAGGGAGACGAGGCCCCCCACTGAGGATGGAGAAGAACAGAATGTGAACATTTGACATCCGTTCCATTTCCTTTCTTGGTCTGGATAACTGTCTCACAACCAGCTCAAACCAAGTCAAGGAAGCTGAACAAYGTCAGCAAACCCCTCTCCCACATGCCCCTGACCCTGTCTATGGAATCACACAAGGCAGAGGTGGCCCAGGGAAGTGAAGGACATGGGTTCAGGGTTTTGTTTAGGGTTTATAGTTGTTTGTGTTTTGAATTTTCTTTTTTGTTCTGTTTGTTTTTTGTTTAGGAAAACTAAGAGTTTGTTTGTTTGTTTGTTTGTTTGTTTTTAATTTTTGTGTTTGTTCCATGCTGTCTGTGAAGGGGGTTTTAAGTTGTGGACTAATGAATCCTATCTATTAGCTTATTAACTGGCCTGACTATTGGCCTACTAATAATCAAACCATTTTATTCTTCTGATAACTGTTTTTCCCTTCTTTCCTCCACATTAGTAGGAATGACTACAGTGTCATAAATACCATGACCATTTAGTTTTGTGTAGTGTTTCTGTGATTTTAAAAATACTTCTATAAGCATTCCCTTTCATCTCCTTGACAAGCATTTATAGAAGGCCTGCTATGTGCTAACCAGAGTGTTAGGAACAGGAGCTCTGAGGACACATAAGAATGGGTCCCTGCCTCCTAGGATGCAAAATTTAACAAAGGTTACAGCTTGTAAGCAAATGCTTATTTGCAAAACTCTAACACAGAGGCAGGTTGGAAGCACTCTGTTGAAGACAGAGAAAATGCTACCAAAATGACATAAATCTGCCTAGAGGAAAAGTAGAATCTGCTTGGTACATAAATAGCCAAAGACRTTTCCAACAGGTGGGCAGGTGATATGATATGTACATTTTGTAAACATGGAASCTGAGCCTCAAAGAGGAGGTCACACAAAATCTTATGCCGACCTTGATCTCTAATATCCACAAAGGTTCTTTGAAGGATTTATTATCATCTTTGGCTTATGAGAAAATTGGGACACAAGACAGAGAGGACTAATAAATCTCTCAAACTTGCATGATGAGCTAGGACTAGGAATCATAATCTTGTATCCCTGATGTAAATAGACAGTCTTTTTCAGAAAGGAAAAGATAACTGTAGAAGATCATCAAAGTCCTTCTCCAGCTTTAAAACCCTCTGTTTCCGAGTTGTTTGGTATTTTGTTATAACTTGCATTTAGTGTGTCTCTCTGTAATTGAAGATATTGAAAATCCACGTATGATATAATCACAACTGCTGCTAATGCTGGATTATATATTCAGGACTATATAATGCTAGATTGCTGATTGGTTTTCCCCGATGCCCTCTTACATGTCATTAAGAAAGAAAAGCAAGTCGGAGACAATGTATAAATCAGAAAGTCAACAGCCAGTTCCATATAGCATAAAAGGAAAAGACAATTGGGAAATAGCCAAATGATTTGATCAAGCACAGATCCAGGATGCCCTGGATTGTTCAATCTATTTTCTAGCTTTTGTTTCTCTCTGTTCAGTATAGTTTCCAAAAAAATATATAGTTTCAGAAAAATCCAAGTATGGGCTATTTCAGATGTGTTGTGTGTACTTGTGTTTTCTTAGCTCTTCTGAAAGTGCTGCAAGACTTAGAACTAGTCAAGAAAATGGTGAGAATATATAATGGGGAGCCTGGAAATGATACTGTGAGATGGCATTTTTATCAGTTTAGTGGTGTTTCTTTAGGGTTATTAAAAATATCCATTATTCACTACAGCAAAGGTCTCTGATTAGTTTATTTTCACAGGCATTACTAACATTTTGTAGAACTGCTACGTCTATAAATGTAAGATGATGTAAGATGTGTGTTACCATCTCATATTTAATTAAATGCTATGGAACTCTTCCTGACTGTACTGTGTTCTGTGAAGACTGTAGATAGAGGAATACCCAGAATGGACCACAGGTCTCAAAGACACTGGACACATCCTGTCATTTACTGTCATTTTACAGGTTTGGATTTCCAGAGAAATATTTTTTACATCAATTAATTGTCAACTCACAATTAATAGCAATTTGTTGAGGACTCACACTGGACTGTTCTACATACTGCTGGATCCTGAGGTTAGAGAGATGAAATGTGGCACAATTACATTTACATGCAAATTTACAATTACATCTGACATTTTTATATGTAAATGCAATTGGGTCCCACTTCATCTCTCACAATCACAGGGAACAAAAGATACATGGGACTGGTCACAATGTCATACCACTGCTTTAACACAAAATATCTGTCAGAATTCTCAGCTTTCAGCAATAGAAACCAATCTGGGCTAATTGTGAGGGGGAAAAAAAGAAGTTATTTTTAATCCAGTCTTGGGAGCCACACAGACACCCTGCATCTCTGACACTGGAACCTCCAGAAACTGAAAAGAGCCACTTCTGCTGCTGCCGCCCCACCTCTGAGTGCCGCAGCATCCAGCAGTTTTACACCACTGTCTGGGGGGTGAAGGCAGAGCTGGGGCCTGTGTGGACCTCAACAAAGCCTCGCCCCTGTGCTGGGCCCTAGCAATGGGAGCAGAGAAGAGAGCCACTGGCATTTGTAACTTCTACAGGAGGAGGCAGGCATTTCTTTGGAGATGGACATTCCCTAAATACACAAAGGAGGTTGTGCTCTCTGGGTGAGGGGGTGGGGGAGGACACAAACAGGTGAAGGATGCTTTAGGGAAGTAGTGCCAAGAAGGGACAACACCGGAGAGATCACACCCGACATGATGTTGTAGGAGAAGCCAGATGCCAGGCAGCCTGCCATGCAAGGATAAGCTGGGGTGAGCAGGGGGGTCTTTCCTGACAGAGGTTCAGCCTCATGGAGCTGTGAGGAAGGGACATGGGGGAATTACAAGCACAGCAGCTGGTTCCTCCTTAGCTGTCTCATTGGTGGATTCTCTAGAATGTCAAATAAAGGGTGCTTTCAATAAAAAAAAAAAATGTATATTCAACTTGAACATTCACTCTGATTTAAAACATATGCTCATATATTCATTAACCATTTACTTGTTCTGTCTTAATCCATTTAGGCTGCTGTCCCAACACACCACAGTCTGAATAACTTACAAACAGAAATTTGTTTCCCATAGAAATTTTAGAGGCTGGGAGTCCAAGATCAGGGTGTCAGCATGGTCTGGTTCTGAAGAGGACTCTCATTCAGATTGCAGACTACTAGCTTCTCACGGAGTCCTTAAGTCCTGGGAAGGGTGGCAGGGAAAGTTTCCTTGGCCTGTTTCATGAGGTCCCACCTCTTAATACCAACAACTCAGGAGCTGTAATTTCTAAATATTAATTCTGAGGGAACACAAAAATTAGGCCATAACATATTACAAGGTCCTTGATTACATTTCCCCTTTACCTTTCTTAGGTAACACGAACCAATAACACATCATCTACTATTTCTAGTTTGCCCTTCTTTAAAATTGGAAAGAATTTTAGGAACTCACAAAGCCAGACACCTATGTTTTTAAAGGTTATCTACCCCTAGGTCATCTATTATCATTTTTCCACATATTTGTCAGCAATATTCTTTCAATATGCCATTATCAAGTCTTTTCAAATCTTTCAAAGTAGTTCTCATAAATCAATAGCTGTCTTTCCTTGCATAATCATATTTCATCAACTTGTATAATACAATCACAAAACAAGTTCTAATGACTCAAACAAACTTGGGGACAGACATCACTGAGTTGGTGAGTTCACATTTCAGTTGGTGGGGGCAGAGGTACCTTTAAGGACAGTGTGCTGGCAGCTGAGTCTCAAGGCAAGTGTTAAAATATTTAAACAGACAATGAACAGTGCCAATTCATCAGATGGTTCAGTGAAAGATTCCATGGGTCTCTACCCAACTCAACATTCCTAATCCAGAGAGTTCTGCAGAGTTGTGGCTGGAGATAAGGCTTGGCCRAGTTGGGGCCCACAATTATATGTAAGTTGTGACAATCTAAGAAACTGTTATTTAGTTGGAAGAGCCTGGGAGTATTTGGAAGAAGTTTAATCAGGAGTGTGGCATAATAAATGTCATGTGCATATCAGATTTTATGGGGGAATCATGTTTATGGAGAAATCTTAGATTCAGTAGATATAAACATGAAACAGGTTTGATGTCTCCCTAGTCACTCTTCTCAAAGGTGTTCTATTGAATCCTCCTTTCTGAATCAGATTACTTTCATTGACCAAATCCTAATTCAATCTTATTTGACAATGTAGTCTCACATTTACRTCAGTCTCATACACATCTCTATCATAGGCTTATGACAAGAGGGACTTAGAAAGAAAGCGAGAAAATA